TCAGCATCTTGAGAGATTTGACCATTCTATCAAGATTTGAATTCAGAGAAGTCACTTCACTTTCCAAATTGGAAATAGTTTTCAGATGCTCTTTCCTTTCTGCCTTCAGTTGGGTTATGAGTGCTTTCTATTTCTCCCCTTCTAGGCAAACTTCTACACTTCTGAGACACAATTCTTTGTACGAGGCAACTAGCTCATCAAAGGTTAGTTCTCCATCACTAGAATCTTCATCAGACACATATTTACCTGTCAATGCTTTAACATACTTTACAGATTCCTCTTCAAGATCACTCTCACAATTCTCTTCAGACCAAGTAACAGATAGATTCTTCTTCAGTTTTTTAAGACATGTAGGACATTCAACTCTAATGTGACCAAAACCTTCACATCCATGACACTGTATTCCTTTCCCTTAAGTGGATTTTTCTTCAGACCTTTTTCTTCCAAACTCATTTAACTTAAGGATGTCAGATGCGGTCTTCTTGACATTTGATCTTGGGTTCCTATCCATCCTTTTTATCACTTTGTTAAAATTTCTTCCAAGCATAACTAAGGCATTTGATATTCCTTCATTTATATATAGATCACAGTCCTCCTCTTCATCTTCAGTATTGGTAACAAAAGCTATGCTTTTGTTCTTCTTTTCAGATCTTTCATTGATGCTTAATTCAAATGTCTGAAGTGATCCAACAAGTTCATCCACTTTCATCTTGTCAATGTCTTATGCTTCTTCTATGAAAGTCACTTTCATTTCAAATCTCTTGGGAAGAGACCTAAGCATCTTTCTCACCAATTTTTCTTTTGGAATTTTTTTCTCCTAAAGCACTGGAAGCATTAGCAATCTCAAGAATGTTCATATGGAAGTCATTAATACTTTCATCATCCTTCATTCTCAGATTTTCAAATCTGGTGGTGAGCAACTGAAGTCTTGACATCTTCACTTTGGATGTGCCTTCATGGGTAGATTGAAGAATCCCTCAGGTATCCTTAGCTACTTCACATGTGTTTACTAATATAAAAATGTTCTTGTCAATTCCATTGAATATAACATTCAAGGCTTTAGAACTTCCAAGAGAAATTTCATCCTCTTCTTTAGACCAATCTTCTTCTGGATTTAACTCAGAAGTAGGTTCTCCATTTTCTCCCAATTTGACAGGGTGTTTACATCCTTTTAAGACAACTTTCCAAGCCATGTTGTCCAGAGACTTTAGAAAGGCCACCATACGTGGTTTCCAATAGTCATAATTGCTTCCATCCAAGATGGGTGGTCTGCTCCCAAATCCTCCTTCCTTATCCATAATACCAGAAAGTATCTTCCCTAGATCTCACCCAGATATAAAGTAGGATGCCTGCTCTGATACCAATTGAAATTTTGGTATCAGATATGAGATGTCGAAGGAGATGTCATGACATAAATATCTGAGGATAGTATAAAATGAAACAATATTAAAAGCGGTAAAAACACAAGGAATTGTTAACCCAGTTCGATGTATAACAACACCTACTCTGAGGGCTACAAAGCCAGGGACAAGTCCACTAAATAGTATCAATTCATAGACCCTCAGTAAATAACCAGTTTACGATCTAATCACTTAATCACTACCCGTGTTATACTTCTACTTAAGACACACCTAGGTATGAGACCCTCCTCAAATCCCTTCAATCACTAACAATGAAGAACAACAGAAATATTAAGTTTTAAGGACTTTAATCCTTCAATACTTAAAAGCTTATGAATGATCCACAATTAACAACTCAAATTACAACTCAAGTATTAAACCAATACTTAGAGTGTATTACAATTAAAAAGACTTAGACTTCTAAAACAGAAAGAGTATGTTCTTCTTTTTAAAAGTTATTGCATGATGAATAAGGATGCAAGTCCTTATAAAGGCGCAACAGTGGGCTTGGGATGAAAAACAAATATTCCAATCCCTTGAATATTTCTATGAAAACAGGCCAAGATATAATCCATAAGGATAATGCAAATAGAAAAATATTCCTTCATATTTTTCGCAAACTATGAGTCACAAATCCTGAATAATGGAGCACATAAAAACAGGAAACAAATATGAAGTCGCGTTCAGATCAGGAGGCAGATGTCAAGACATCTTCTTTGACATCATTCAAAACCAGTTTGCTTCAAATGTCAAGACATTTAGCAAAACATTATCAAGTCAGTGTTTTACCAAAATTGTTGCCAACAAACACTTACATAAATGTACCTCATGCAATTAGTTACTATGATTCTCTTTTATCAACAAAAAACAATTCATTAGGCTCACATAATCATCATCTACATAGTTTTTTACAGTGTAATTTTTAATGTTTTTTTATTTATGTGAAATATTATTGTGCACACATTATAAATAATTTTTTTACTCAAATCAAAGTAAACAATATATAGAGTGTGCGCCACTTGTATGTCATGTACAATAAGAAAGCAAAAAATTGTAAACATATCCTATACCCCCTTAACTTTTCTCGCTTTCAAGTTTTCCATCATTTATTCACCACTTCTCATGTCTTCATTCTTGTCATCCATCTCCATCTTTCTCACAAATTCTTAGTCATTCTACTAATATTGATATCCATATTCAAAATAAGATCGATGGACTTAAATTTTGCGAGAAATCCAAAGCAATGAGAAATCCTCCCCTAACATTACATCCTTGTTGCAACAAAATAAACAAGTTATTGAGATTGATAACAAGAAATGCTAGTTATTTACATAATAGTGCCTAGTTAGTTGCATAGTTAGTTAAAAGTTAGTTACTTGTTGTTACTTACTACACATGCTAAGTTAGCTAGTTGCATCTACTTTATACTATGATATTTATGCATACAAAAGGAAACTTGACATGCTATTGTACCTAAATGCAACCAAGCTTGATATAACATTCTGCACACAACAAGTGAGCCAATTTTTGTAAACACCCACCATGACTCACTTCAATATCGCTACAAGAGTTTTGAAATATTTGAAGACATTTCCAACTCGTGGCGTTATGTTTCCTTGAGATTCAACCATTATATTGAATGAATACTCTGATGCTTACTGGGTCGGATGCTTAGATATAAGGAGATCAATTTCAGGGCAATGTTTCTTTTTAGGCAAGTCATTACTTTCATGGAGAATAAAGAAGCCATTCACATTTTTGAGGTCTTCATCTAAAGCAGAATAGCGAGCATTAACAGATGCTACATGTGAATTTCAATGACTATTTTACCTTCTCAAAGATCTTCAAGTCACTTGCATCAAAATAACTATTTTATATATTAACAATCAAAGTGAATTATATATTATGGCTAATCTTATCTTCTATGAAAAAACTAAACACTTAGAGATTGACTGCCATATAGTTAGGGAGAAGAAAGTTGTGGGGATGATGAATCTTTTTCTTGTTAAATCTAGAGACCGACTAGATGATTTTTATAGAAAACCTTTGCTTCGTCAACCATTCCATACATTAGTAATCAAGTTGAAGATGATAGACATATCCCAACCTCCAACTTGTGGTGGGATGTTACATCAAAATTAACAAGTAATTGAGGATGATCACAGGAGATATTTGTTAGTTACACAAGACCAGATAGTCAATTGCATAGTTGGTTAGAAGTTAGTTACTTGTTGTTACTTACTACACAAGCTATCATATGCTAGAACATAATACATAGTAGCTTACCATGTGACTTAGCCAACTATATAAAGAAGTCGTTTGAAATAAGTCATTTGAATGCTCAAGTTTGCATATCATAATAATCCTTAAGCAATATATGAATTTCAACATTGCTTATGCTTTTGAAATTTGTGAGATTTTTATTTTTATTTTACATTTGTGCTCTTGGAAAATCCATGTCTTTTGGGAGACTTATGTTAGAAGGTCTCGATTGAGAGAAATCTCATATTTGAATTATGTTATTTTTAGAGTTGCATAGTTCATATTTTCTTTCGAAATCGATGCTAAATTTATGTATTCATAATGTTGAGCGTAATCAGGATGATGAAGAAAGTGAGAGAGAAAGATTAGAGAAAATTTTTAGTATAAGGATCGTTAAAAAATATATAATTAATGTCAAGATTAATAGGTACAGACCAAATTCGGCGATGAAAGAGAAAAATATTGAAATTGGATGACTTAGAATGATTGAGAGAGGAATATGTATATGACACGAAAAATATATACACACATATGTATATGTATATGACTTAAGTCATGCATGGTGTACCACATAAGTAGGTCGCACAATCCAATTTTTACAAGATAGAAATATAGATATGGCTTGAAAATTTAATAATATTATCATAAACCTTTAATACTTTTAATGTAAAGTTAAAATTAAATTGATTTTAAAAATTAAAATTAAGTCATGTCGTACAACATAAATAGGACGTAGGACATAAGTACAACGCACATCTTAATCTTTATCATACATGACGTAAGTTATAAATGAGACGCACATCTTAATCTATCATGCATGACTTGGATATAAGTAGGACACACATCTTAGTCTTTATTATGCAAATAATAGGAAAAAAATCAAAAAACAATAGACCCAATACGATATTTTAAGAAAATATTTTAACTAAAAAGAATAATTAGGATAATTTATTTATAATAATAAAAAGTAAAAACCAAGTGTCGATGGCAATGAATAATTTATTATTATTTTGCCTAGAAAAGAAATAAGATTTGAAAAATATAAAATTTTGGTAGGAGCATGAATGTAGGACATAAATAAATGTTGTCATTGTCTTTTAAGGTTATTTGACAAAGATAAATCAAACCGATCTGACCAGATCATTTCCTATGTTACACACTTCAACTAAACTCAGTTACATGTCTTTGTTAATCCGTTCGTGTTCTCTAACCCTAATTCAACCTAAGTCAAATCCAATTCAATACCCTTTCTTCAGATTCAGCAAATCTAACATAGATTTCTGCTAAATTCCCTCTTTTTCAGATCTAACAATAGCTCAACACCACTCTTCAAATTGAATGGCGGTTCAACAAAAAGGCAAGTTTTTTATCTTCTGTTTGCTTATCTTTTTCTCTTCTGTTCATGTATCTTGTAACCCTATTACCCCTGAATCATGTTCGATACAATCACCGTCCAAATCCAATGATGAATCTGTTTCTGAATACAAAACAAGTAATGATCAATTGAATCAACAAGTTTTGTTGAATAAGCTTGAAGAGTTGGTGAGAAATCTAAGTGATATAGTTGCGAGATTAGAGTCAAAACAACTGCAGCATGAGCTTCCTAAGGTTGCTCAAGAAAAAAGTAGGTTTACTCAGGTAAAGGGTGGTGGTGATGATGGAAGATCTAGTGATAGTAGAGTAGTTGTTGAAGATGGTGAATTTGAGGGGAAAACTCAAAATGGTGATAGAGCTAAGGGAATGTCTGTGACCAAGTATACTCCTTTTTGGTCAGAGAGGTTTCAATTTGCATCTGCTGTGAAATTGGATTCTGATGCAACTTGTATAAATGTTTTGCCTTTTAAAGATCACGAAGGGTTAAGTAAGTATGTAGCAGTTAGTGATGAAAAGGGAAGGGTTTATGTGTTTTTGAGAAATGGTGATGTGTTGGTTGAGTTTGATACTTTGTTGGATTCGCCTATTACGGCTATGGTTTCCTATACTTCTGCTTTTAAGAATGAGAGTTTTGTTGTAACTGGTCATGAAAATGGGGAGATGTTGATACATAGAGTTTGGGAGGGATCGGGTGGCGAAGATTGGAGTTCGCTGTTCATGGAAAATGTTGGTAAGTGTGTCTCACCTGAAAATCATGAGAATGGTTTGGCTATAACTTTGTTGGAAGTTCATTTTGTAAGGAGGATGAAGTATATTCTATCGGCCGATACTAGTGGGAAGATTAAGGTTTTTAAGGAAAGCGGTTTGTTTTATGGTTCTGTTACGCCGAGTAATAAGCCGTTAGTTTTCTTGAAGCAAAGGCTTATGTTTTTGACAGAAACTGGTGCAGGATCTATTGATTTAAGGGGCATGAAACTCAGAGAATCTGAATGTGAAGGGTTGAACCATTCTCTTGCTAGAGGTTACGTGTTCGATGCCACGGACCGTTCCAAGGCTTATGGATTTACGTCTGACGGTGATTTGATTTATATCTTGTTGCTTGGAGATGTAATGAACTTCAAATGCAGGGTTAGGTATAAGAAGAAGTTTGAAATGGAGGAGCCTCTTGCCATGCAGGTAATTAAAGGGTACTTGCTAATTGTTAACCCTAAAAAGGTTTTCGTGTTTAATGTTTCGTCTCCTCATTATGTGAGAGTCGGGGTGCCTCGGCCGATTTTCTCCTCAAGCATCGATGAGCTTAGGTCCTCATTCTTGAATAATCCGACCCCGAGTTTGGATGACGAAACGAAAGTGATGATACCGTTGATAGCTAGTGACCGCGAAAAGCTTGTTATCGTTGGACTTGGAGGCGGTTACGTTGGAATGTATCATTCCAATCTACCTATCTTTAAAGGCGAGTATAATACCATGATGTGGACTAGTCCGGTATTGTTCTTCGTACTTTTCCTTTTCGGGGCTTGGCATTTTTTCTCCAAAAAGAAGGAAGCACTTACATCATGGGGACCGGACGACCCCTTAGCATCAACATCCGGCGCTCCCTTGGCATCTAGTTCAACCGAAAGATCTTTTGTCGACTCTTCTTCGAGAACTTCTGCTGATGTTATGGATCTTAGAAGTGGAGCTCTCAGAGGTCCACCACCGCCCAGAAGGTATGGCTCTCCTACAAGGTTTCCTGGTGGAGCAGCAAGTAACTACAGACTAGGTACTGCTGATCATAATCCTAGACCAGCTTCAGTTGATCCTGATTTTCGAGCAGCATCTGAGCTTAAATATAGAGCATCAACTATGGATCCTCCTGGTTTCCCTAAAAGAAGAGATGGCATGTTTGTAGGAAACCAAGTTGTAAATGATCGCAGTTGAGCGGCGCTTTTCTCTAACTAGCTCAAGAGATTTCCTTAGTTTTTAATCCTTTGATGTCTCACTGTGTTTTAGCTTTCAAGGGAAATAAATTTTAATGAGAAGCTTCAATGTTTTTTGGTTTAATCATTTCCTTGTGTTTGAGTTATACAAGGTCCTTCACTTTTAGTGTCTGTGATAACACATTTGTTTTGAAACTCACAGCATTTTCTTTACAAATAGTTGATAGAAAGAAAAAGTGACTCTATCTTCTATTCATAGAGTAATAACAAATTTTAAGATTTATGATATGTATTTCATCTTTATATTGTCATTTTTTATGACTGTTTTTACCATTAAATATGAAATAAATATTAAGTATCAGCTAGTTTTTTCTTTCTTTTTTTTAGTAAATAAAAGAGTATAAAGTCTTGAGTAATTGCTTAAGATAGGATTAGGCAAAAACAGCAACAATTCTAAATTGGCTTGTAAGGTCCATGGAATTATGAGAACTTGTTTCGTTTGGGACAATGAGGGAGGTATGACAAGTTAGTTTGTAGCGTCTTTATGGTGGATATCGAAATGTAGAGTGTGCGATAAAATTAATGATTAGAATTTCTTTTCAATTAAGATAAATTTTAAATTTATAATAGAGTAAAAATAAGCAATCAGTTGTTGAGAAAATGATGTTGTTAAACAAGTCTTTTTCAAAGATACTATATGAGTTGTTAAAATGGATCCAATCATCTGGTTGGTCCACCAATCCTATATTTAGGATGCCTCGGGCTTTTAAAAAACAGACGAGTATTACTTATTCCACATTTAAGGGTGTTAGTTCAGCTGAAAAGTTACAAAAAAGTCTTTGAATTCTGGAAATGTATCTTTAGACGCACCTAAATTATATACATCTAATGCTTTAGTGAAATAGTTATTTCAATTTCGTCCAAAAATATTTTTGAAGATGCATCTTCGTAATTGCTTTTAATTAATTTTATGTTTAGTGAATTTTACGAGGATGCATCTTTGGATGGAGTTTAATTGATTTATCTCGTGGTAAAACCTCCCTCCTTGCTTCTTCATTTTCTACACTTTCAAAAACACTTCAATTTCAGAGTTTGTGAGCAAGAACAAGTCATTTTTCAAACTTCAACACTTCTTCAATTGCATTGCGATCAAATCTAATAGATTTTATTCACTCTATTCAAGCTTTCGCACAACAACAAATCTCAATCGTTAAGTTTCTCATTTTGTTTCTACTTCTGAATTGTGATGCATGTATAAGGTAATATAGGTTGTTTCAAATGCATTAGTCTATAGTTACGTTTAAAATAGATACTTTGTTTGGACATGCATACAAATTTGTCGGTGTTTAGGATATTGTCTGTATTTTCTGCCATCTCACCTTTTTACAGAGATACATCTTCAAATTTTTTTGAAAATTTTCAGTTTTACAAAGATGCATCTCTGGTTTGTTCTGAATTTTGGTTTTCTCTTTTGCGAAGATTCATTTCCAAATTTTACTTGCCTTGATTTTGATATTGTTCTGGACTGGACTAGCAACTAAGTACGGTCCAATCCACTCCAGCTCCAGAATGACCCAGACACCTTCGTTGAGGACTTTTAAACAAAATAATATGCACAAATAAAATTGTCTTCTAAAGGTCTTTAGACAGATTTGCCCACTTAAAGTAGGGACTCTCAGTCATGCATCTCTATTCTTACTTCTCATGGCAAGAAAAAGAAAATACAATGCAGAATCAAAACCAGAATAAAAAACAATACCAAACGAACAATAATGTTTGTAGCAAAGCACAATCAAAGCAAAAGAAATTCGACAGTCTTCGTGCAAGCTTCACCATGCAAAAGATATCCAATATAAGAATCAAGACATCATCGTGTGAGAATAGATCGCATGCGGAAAACACATCGCATCAAAATAATTGTCCTGCACAAAATTATTTTACACAAGCACAACATAACCCGTAAATCACATATCACGCGAATACTCCTTCAGAAACTTGCACAAACTCAACAAACAAGTTAGCAATAACAAGGAAGCATAAGCATAGCTCGAGTATCAAGTCACAACTCAAAAATGATATTGAATTGCAAATAAATCAAATCCAAATGAACATTAGAATATGGATATTAAAAATTGGGCAGCAACATCGTTATCTCATAAACCAAGAAAAAGTCAATCTAAAATCGTCAAAACTCACTGCAAATGCCAAAAAAATACCAAGGCAAACTTACTTGTGCACTAACCAACAATTAAATCACATATTTATGCATACTTACCGACTTCGGGCAGCACTACATCCAATCACAAAATTACTCGAAGAATCGCGTCGAAACCGGTAAAATTCAACATTAATGTTCAACAAATACACAACTATGCTCAAGTATGCATGAAACAATAATAAAAGAAATTTACAATGCATTTGTAATATATGGGCAACAACATGTACATGAATCGATATCCATTAAAATCGAGTTTAAAACTCACAATCGGACATATAAAAAATATTTATCGATTTAAGTAACATTGCTAAGAAATTACAAAGACATTGCAATCATTAATTCACATCAAAACATCGATTCCAAGCATCAAACAAAATTATTCAGCGCATTAAAATCAACTAATTGACTTGTAAAAAATAATTAACTCATGAAATTTCAACAATTATGAACAATTAGTAAATCAGAATCAAACTTCAATGCGTAAAATCAATAATCAACAACAATCGACGCGTCGACACATGAAATTCAAACAATTAAGCAATTAATCATCTAATTTTACATTTTCCCATAATTAATTAATCTCAAGAATCAATTAAATAAAAAATTCAAGTAAAACCAACTCATACAAGAGCAAATAAGTACTTAATTCAAAAAAAAATAATTAAACACTTAAATCAAGTAAGGATCAAGAATTACCGTATCAAAATCGAAAGAAGTGATGATCCGATCGGAAGATCTTGGTCGTGGGAGGGAGTACCGCTCGGTAGGACGAGCTCGCGCGAGGAGGAATCCGGCCGAAGAGCGATTGAACGGAGGGATGCAGGCTAGAGGGAGGTTGGTGGTGGTAGAGGCTGGCCGGGCGGAGGAGCTAGGTGCACGATGGAGCTCAGAGAGAGAGGGAGATTGGTCTTGAATGAGAGAGAGTGGTTCTTGAGAGAAAAAGTGTTTTTTGTTCTTGAATCTTTGAGAGAAAAAGTTGAGAGAAGACTTGAATTTTTAGAGTGATTTGCAAAAAATGACAAAAGTCCTTTTTGATTTTAAGTTGAAATAATATATAGACAAGCTCTTGGGCCTTGTTTGGAAAATGATATAAAATAAACAAATTCTCTTATTTTTTGAGTAGTGTGGAATTTTTGGCTTATTTCGGTGTACGACTCAAAAATAAACCATAAGCTCATGACTTTCGGTGCATAATCCTGATGCGAAACCTGAAGCAAAATCGTAGATGACAAAATTTGTGACGTTGTGCCGAAAGAATCATCTCGATACGATAAAAATCGAGAGTTACGATTTTCACAATAACTAGAAAATCGAGACAGAAAACCCATTGTTTCAGGTTGCGCCATTTTTTCAGCTTATTTTCATGTATGCTTTGGGGAACGAGCCCCAAACCAAAAACTTCAGAGCATAATTCGAACTCGATTCTTGAAGAAAAGTTGTATCTAACAAAATTTATTATCTCGTGTCGTGAGAATCGTCTAAAAATGTTGAAAATCGAAAAAGTTGTGATTTTTACAATATTGTACAACAGTTGATCAGAAATCTGCTTCAGCATGCGATTTTCACCGTATTTCACAATTTCGAAGATATTTTTCACATAATTGGCTTCCTAGCCAAACATATTAAATTAAGAGGACATCAAGACGAATCCAACGCCCAAAAATCCACTAAAAATAATTTTTCGGTCAGAAGTTATGAATTTTTGAATACAAACTGCGAAATGCAGATTCTCAGTCAAAACTGTCTCAAATCCACTAGAATGCTTGATTTTCTTTGCAATTCGAGGCATGCTAGAACACCTTAGATCTTGAATGATGACGAATTGATAACTCACTAATTGAGTAGCTCGGTAAAATATGCAGAGTGCACTTGAATCTCAAAAAACCCTGAGTTTTTGCTTTGTTGTGTTGTCTGACAAAACAATTGTTTCTGTAGCTTGACGCGGATAAATGCTTTGATCCTGTAACCATGGAATCGGTGACATGTATGCATGAGCATGTTAAATAAAAATAATCCAATTAGGGTTAGACCGAAGAGGGCGAATTTTGGAGTGCAACAGCTGCTCATGTTCAATCAACTTAAATCTGAGGGTGAGATTGATGTCAGTCTTTCGAACAATCGACATAGAAGGGGATTAAATACTCAAAAGAACCATAAAATTTGTACTCTGAAGAACAAACTAAAGTCATGTATTTTGGTTTATCTATATTTTCTATTTTTTGTTACTTGGGAGTATAGTTTTAAATATGTACATCAGGTCAAGGTTAGACATACGGGAGACCAAATAAACTTGGTGAATACATGCTAGGTCAGGATTAGACACATATAAGGGTATCAGGTATATGCCAGGTCAAGGTTAGGCACACACGAGAAAGAAAGAGACTGATCGAAGAAGGTTCTAACAAATACGTCAGATACACATGCCAGGTCAAGATTAGACATGCACAAGGACATCGGGTATACGCCAGGTCAAGCTTAGATGCACATAGGAAAGAGACTGGCCAAAGAAAGCTCTAACAAAGATATCGGATACACATGTCAGGTCAAGATTAGGAACGCATAAGGACATCAAACATACATGTTTGGTCAAGATTAAATACACATATGAAAGAGATCAACCGAAGAAGACTCTAACAAAGATATCAATATACATCTCTGGTTAAGATTAGACATATACAAGGATATTAGAATACATGTTTGGTCAAGGTTAGACACACATAAGAAAGAGATCAACCGAAGAAGACACCAACAAAGATATCAACATACATGTCTGGTCAAGATTAGACACATACAAGGTTATCAAAAATACATATATGGTCAAGGTTAGACACGCATAAGAAAGAGATCGACCAAAGAAGACTCCAACAAAGATATCAAACATACATGTCTGGTCAAGATTAAACACATACAAGGATATCAAAAATACATGTCTGGTCAAGATTAGACACACATAAGAAAGAGATCAATCGAAGAAGACTCTAACAAAGATATCAACATACATATCTGGTCAAGATTAGACACGCAAGGATATAAAAAATACATGTCTGGTCAAGGTTAGACACGCATAAGAAAGAGATTAACCAAAGAAGACTCCAACAAAGATATCAAACATACATGTCTGGTCAAGATTAGACGCATACAAAGATATAAAAAATACATGTTTGGTCAAGGTTAGACACATATAAGAAATAGATCAACCGAAGAAGACTCTAACAAGGATATTAACCGAAGATAGACACCTGGAAGAAGAACATCAAATTGAAGGCGAATTCACCAATGAAAAGAATACTAGACGAAGATAGACTTTTGGGGAAAGAATGTTGATCAAAGCAAACTTACTGGGGATACTGATTTTGATTTTGATAAAACACTAAAAAAAGTGAACTTACACCAAAAGAAAAGACCAACCGATAAGGGTACTCTAATAAGGGTTGCCAACAATTCTCTGTGAAAAAGGGTAACACGACCAGATCTGACTGAGGATACAAACCATAACGGACTCCATCAAGGAAACAAAATATGATAACCATAGTAATAAACTGTGAGGGTTATTCATCTCTGGGTATAGAATGAACTAATTACTTCGGGTGAGCAACCAAAATTGGCTTATAATTCAATGCTTGTTTGAATTTTTCTATGGCGTAATGCTCCACATAATGGAAATGCTACGCATTTGGATAGATGCAATGTAATGATGCATATTTAAATGATTCACTGAGGAATGGAAATATCACGGATGAAATGTCGAGAAAACCAAGAGCATCTGAGATGTCATCCCTAGGAAACTGATCTTCAATAAGGAATAACCATTGGAACTGATAACCAATGGGTATAAGCTGCTACATGAGAGACTGTAACTCAAACGTGTCAACTCCAAGGAGGGATGCCACTGAGAAGCGAGCTTTAGAGAGAATACTGCAAAAAAAAATTACAGTTCATTGAGGAAAAATCTCGACTCCAAACAACTCTTAACCTTCTAGGGAAAAGATCGATTATCTTCCTGCTGAAAATAAGGAATGCTTCGCTGAGGAATAAAGATCTTCTTGTGTATAGTTTTTGATAGAAAGTAACTTCTACTGGGGGTAAAAAAAAGATAGCAGGGATGTTGTACCCCAAAATTTTCCCTCTCATTTCTCAAGGAATCACCTTGGATCCTCAAGTTTGCTTACATCCAATTCCAAGCTTTGAACTGCAATTTTCTAAGAAAATCACTCATAAGGGTAAAATGGTCATTTACACGTTGGGAAGTCAAACTTTGACTTTTGGATCAAAATCAAATCTCAAAAATCATATTTTATCAAGATATGTTGGAATATGAAGTTTGTTTCATCTAAAAATTCAAAAGTCAAATTTACTTTGGAAAAGTCAAAATTCTAAATACTTAGAACTTTTCTAAAGTATGACACTTCAGAACTTCTGAGCCAGCCTCCATGCCAGTGCAGTCAGAAGTTGCAAACATGGCTCAGAACATAGCCTTCAGTCAGAACATGGTTCTTCAGCCTCTATGTAAGCTCAGTCAGAGTTTTCCAGGGTAATTCAAAGAAGGCTAAGAAGTGTGCTGCAAGCATTTCAAGAAAGTCTGAAAGCTCCTTCAGAACATGCTGGAGCCAGAAGATAAGAGGATCAAAAGATGGGATGCTACGCTGAAGCAGAACTTCTGATCCAGAACAAAGCCTTGGTGTAGAGTTTCACGTTGCAGGATTTCTGGTTGTGATAAGTCTCATCATCATTTAATGCTCATTTAA